TTTGGGCCTTGTGCCAGTGTTGTTTGGACCCTTAGGGGCCTTTTCTTACTATCCTCTCATTGTTTTCGATTGAAAATCTATATTCAATCATGTTTACACTTGTTTACTGTATAACTCAGTTTTATGACTCTATTTTGATGCATATAAATGTTGTTTTGGGCTGAGCACTCTATTTTACTGAAATGCTCGAGTGGCTTGAGAGGTTTATGACTAAGTGAGGCTGATGGACTGATTTGTGAGGATATTTATGGGATCGGGCTGCACGCCGCAGCATATTGATATAGGCCGAGGGCCTGATTGTGAGGATGGGTGTGGATCGGGGTTGCCCGCCTGTGGCATACTTTATTATTATAGCACGTGAGTTGTCCGTGCAGATTATAGCGCTTGGGCTGAAGGAGCCCCTCCGGAGTCTGTACACACCCCCAGTGAGCGCAGGTACCTACTGAGTGCGAGTGCCGAGTGCTGAGTGACTGGGAGGCATGAGTGATTGTGAGGTATGCCCGAGTGGCAAGAGTGATTGTGAGGCATGCCCGAGTGGCACGAGTGACTGTGAGGTTTTCCCGAGGGGCTGTTTATGAGTGATGTTTTGCCCGAGGGGCTGTTTATGATTTCAACATTTTCGCTCACCTTTGCATTTTTCCTCTATTTGAAAACTGTTGAAATATATCTTTAAATGATTTTTACTGGAACTGGGTTTAAACGAGATATTTTGATTCAAATCCTGATTTTAAAAGCATGTGGTATTTTACTGAGATTTTCTGATATGAACGTTATATGCTTTATTGCTCGTCACTACTGCTAAATCTTTATTTATTGTTGTTACTTACTGAGTTGGCGTACTCACGTTACTCCCTGCACCTTATGTACAGATCAAGTTGTAGCTGGACACGGTAGCGGTTGTTGATTATTTTGGTTGCAGATTTTCTCGGGGAAAGCGAGGTAGCTGCTTAGCAACCGTAGCCCTTGCTCTTCTCTCTCTTATCTTCCTCTAGTTGTATTTAGCTATTTTCCAGGCTGAGTTAGCCAAACCCAAGAATATTGCCACCAAAATTTCTATAAAGTCTTACAATATCATAATTACCCCATAAATACCACAACCGTAACACTCACTCTGAAAATACCTTATGTGAATTTAAAATTGTTCCTCATTCCTTTCTTATACTGAAATGTAGAATTCATTCCTGTCTGTCGCACACAAAATTGTGCGGCGCGCATACTCCTCTGCGGCCTGAAGTGCGGCTGCATACAAAATTGTGCGGTCCGCATAATTCTCCTGAGGTCTGCACTTCCCTTTTGCCTCAGCACTCCCAAAATGTGTAGTCCGCACTTTCAAAGACCCCCATAACAATATTAGAGTGCCGAAAAGCCCGTACTGGCTCAAAACTCATCCCGAAACTCCCCCGCAGCCCCCGGGATCCCGTTCAAATATACCAATAAGTTTCATAACATAACACGGACCTACTCAAGGCCTTAAATCATATCAAACAACATCAAAACGTCGAATTGCACCTCAAATCAAAATCTATGAACTTTGAACTTTCAAATTCTATATCTTGTGCCGAAACACATCAAAACAATCCAGAATGACTTCAAATTTTGCACACAAGTCAAAATTACATAACGAAGCAATTTAAATTTCCAGAATTGAATTCCGACCTCGATATCAAAAAGTCAACTCCCCGTTCAAACTTCCAAACTTAACTTTCTATTTTAACTATTTTAAGCCAAATTCTACTACGGATTTTTAAATAATTTTTTGGACACGCTCCTAAGTCCAAAATTACCATACGGAGCTATTAAAATTATCAAAACTCTATTCTGGGGTCGTTTAAAGATAAGTCAACATCCGGTCAACTATTTCAACTTAAGCTTCCAACATAAAATTCATTCTTTCAAGCTAACTCCGAGATATCTTAAAACCAAAACCGATAATTCACATAAATCATAATACCTCGTAGGAAGTTATTCAATACTTCAAATAATTGAAAGGCGCGTAAATACTCAAAACGACCGGTCGAGTCGTTACACAAACCAAAAATAAAAATGTCATCATATCACGAGCAAAACTTTCAAAGAATATTCAAAGGAATCTATTTCTCTGTTTAATTATACAGCATTACCAGATTTGAGAAAAGAATCTACAAAAACATATTGACTATAGAAAACTAGGTTTCAGAAAAGAGTTTCTTAAAATGCACTAAAAATCCAAGTAAAATTTTGACACAACCATAACAAATGAAGAATGATGAGAAATAAAATAGAAAGTAAGAAATGCAAAAAGAAACACAAAAAACCTTCTCAGAGTTACTAATATCGGATGAAATGAGGAAAATCGCTCAAGGCCGCTTCTCGGCCCTCAAAAGATACCTAAGTTTCTCTCCAAAGACAAATAGTTTGCTTCCATTTTCTACTTTCGTCTCTCTACTCAATTCTTCTTCAATAGCCCCGATTTGAATGGACTCACGCCAAGCACTAAAATTTTTAGGAGAATGGGGAAAAAGGATTTTGGAATAAGGGGGTTTTGAAAGGCCTCACACTCTAGGGTTTAGGAGAAGCAGGAAGATGGGATTTGGCAAAATGAGAGAATTAAAGAAAACGTAGCTTTCTTTTATGAAAAAGAATTATTTTATTTAAAGCAAAAAATTTGTGGCGACACAGTCGCCCCATTAGACATTCTGTGGCATTTTTGATAGGTCGCCACGAATGACTCTTCAGCTAAATTTTTGTTCTCGGAAGAAATAAAAATTTAGTATATCATTAGAGGCGACCTCACCAATGTCGATCACCACTATAATCTTACTTTTTGTAGCGACTATAATGGTAGCCACTAAACCTTTATCCTTTTGTGGCGACATTTTTAAGTCGCGGCAAATAGCTTACCTATTGTAGCAACTGAACTGGTCGCCATTAAAGATTGTCACAGAAAACCTAATTTCTTGTAGTGATTTTGTCTAGTGCAAAAGTTATTTTTAATGAGTAAAAAAGACAAACGACATTTCGCTAAGGGTATTCATGTTTTTAATATAGTATTGATAGATATATATATATATATATATATATATATATATAAGATTTAGTAGCTTTTATTAATAATTTTATTATATATAATAATATAAAATTTTTTAAAAAGTGGCGGCCTTTTATTGTCGAGGCCTAAAGCTAGGCTATTGCTTTAGTGACTTTCCGCTTGAGCCGGCCTAAGCACAAGTTACCTCATAAAGTGAACATTTAAACCAAATGAAACGTTAAACTCATGAAATGTATATTAAACAATATTAGCTGGTGGCTAAAAGTGGTAGAGCTCTTAGTCAGCACCCTATTTAAGTTATAACTAAGCAACTATACTACTTGCGTCGAGAATGAATAAATTTTCTCTATTTATAGTATCATTATCTGTTTCTTTTGGGGCGAATATTGAAAAATACATTAACGGAATACCAGACAAGTTATTAAGTTGGCAGCTACCCTACATCTTAATTTATATGATATAGTTTAAATTTCGAGAGTTAAAATTTTGATCGCCAATTTAAACATAGAATCTTTAAGTATTTAAAATAAAATTTACATGTTCAGAAGTTACATAAAGAGTATAATATAAGTCAAAATAATTAATAATTTAAAATATTTAAAAAATCATATGAAAATATGGTGGTCAAATGAATACTCGTTTGACTCTGTAAATAGGATGGAGGGAGTAATTAATTAGACTCGACCGTGCATTCTAGTAAATAGTTGTTGCAGTTCTCTTTATAGCTCTTTTTCATATAGGGAAGGGGAGCAAGGAACCTACTAAATTGAATCTTAGGATTTTAAGCTTGGTAAGAGTTTCATCAACTAATTAATGAACCTGCTAATCGTTCAGAAGAATTTATCAAGTTGAGCACATTGGATAAACACTAAAATTAAAATGAGTCTGACTCTGATACTATGATAAAGAAATAAACATTGAATCTAACTCGATTCTAAAAATTAGCACAAAATGTGAGAATTATCCAAGACCGATTCCATAAGGGACTTAATTGTTTGACACGACTATTAATGCAAGCATAGAATTTTAAATTTTAAATTTGAGTTTGGATAAAACTGAACATGTCTATTTAGAAGCGTCTCTTCCAAAAGGTCTTGTCTTTGCTCTACAAATAACAGTTTTCATTACAAAGTGGTATAGAAAACCTTGCATGTATGATCTTGGCTTGTTATATCCCGAAGAAGATTGTCTGTATTTTCCTCAATTAAAATGCAGGCAATGTTGTTCTCACGCTCCAAGCTTTCCTTGTTCTCGTTTTCAAATTACTAAATTTTCTAACAAATGATTTATGCATAGAGGGTTAAACGTAGAACAGCCATTACTTACAAGTAAAATAATGCAAATCAAAGCTAATCACAAATCGGGTATTTGTCTCAGAGAATTTAACATGGGTTTCAAATCTTGTAATAATTCCTTCTTTTTAAAATGAAAGGAATATTTCTTGGTAGTTTGAGCTGTAATGACTGGCGGTTGGGTAGTGGGGCTAAGATGACTTTGTTAAGTCTACTAATAAATGATCGTTTACACATTAATTTTCCACTGCATTTTTGTTAATCAACTGATAAGACAACCTTCATGCTTTAATTCGGATTCTGTACGTGGTACACCAAAATAACGATACGTGTCGCGGTGTCGGGTTTCGAAGTCACGAGTTCGAAGCATATGAGCTGCGACCAAAACTACCCCTCTGCCATAGTTTTAGATTTTAGATTAAACAAATTCGTAGGCACCTCAGGTGCGGATTCATGATTTAAATTATATGGGTTTAATTTTTAAAAATTTTAGTATTGAACTTATTATATTTTTAAAATTATGTGTTCATATCTACTATTTTTAAAATTTTAATAATGTTTACATATAATTTTTTACTCTACGTCAAAAGTTATGGGTCCAATTAAACCGGTCACAACCATCTAATAACCTATATAAGAGGGGAGGTTAATTAGTCCAAGTTAAACACGATGCGCGCGGGAGAGGACAGGTAGGTATATATAAAAAGGCGTGGCTACACGCCCAATATCAACCCCCTACGACCTAATTATATCATCTGCTTCCTTTCTCTCTTCAAAAATTTCAAGTTTTTTCAAAAGCCCTCAGAAAAGGAAAAGTCCAAATTATCAAAAGTATTAGGAGAATCTATTTTAACGGGTTCTTTGATCCAAACTGAACTCCTTATAATACTGTGTTGAATATTTTGATCATGATTGTAACTGCTACTACTGGTGCATTTTTCCCCGTCGCAAATTATTCACCTGAATTTAGAGAAAGCGCATCAGGAAAGCTAGGAGGAAGTATTGATGCACCGCGAGTAGACAATTATAAGAAGTGTTCTATTTGTAGCCTACAAATTAAGGCGAATTCTCAAGCATCGCCGCATGTGAATGGATCAAACGTTTGCCTTAAGCACGATCATAGGCTCAATATCGACCCTTTTGGACAGGGAAAACTCATGCAAGATGGCTTTGTTTTTCGTCAAAGTTTCAGCATCAGGTCATATGAAATCGGGGCTGATAGGGCTGCGTCTATAGAAACGATGATGAATCTTTTGCAGGTTGGCATAGCATTTTTGGAATTTGCGCATTAAACTGAATGTGTGTTTGATATCAGGGAAAATGACATATATATTTATATTTATTGAGATTTAATATATTTTGGTAGGTCTTTACATATATATGTATACGCCGAATCAATAGTTATCGGTTCAGAATCAGATTACCCCCTTATTACTATATAAATATACTTCATAAGATTGAGTTGGTTGTACTGCAGGAAACATCTCTAAACCACGCGAAGAGTGTAGGACTTATGGGGGATGGGTTCGGGTCAACTCCAGAAATGTCCAAAAGAAATTTGATTTGGGTTGTCGCGAAGATGCAGGTTTTGGTGGATCGCTATCCTACTTGGTAAGTTTCTGCTCTTGATTTTATGGTTTCAGTTCCCCCCGAGAGGAGCTAGAGAAAAGTTCACTCTTAAGCCTTAAAGAGTGTGATGTAGATAGTTTTTCAGTGGCGGACCTAAGTGGTGGCTAGCGGATTCAGTTGAACCCGCTTCACAAAAAAATAATATTGTGTAAAAGTATAAATTAGGATTAAACTACTATTTTACCACTAAATTTATATACTTATAAGATTGAACCCGGTTGCACAAAATTTTGGGTCCGCCACTGACTGTTTCTATGGCTCGAGCCCTTAAGTTGGTTGAATATGGTGATTATTTGTCTTTTCTTGATTCTGCTTATATCAAAATCTGTTCCTGGATTTCTAATTGCACATTTTCTTTTGCCATTGTGAAGAAATTAATCACTTGGACTTATGATACTGCTTTGATTTCTTTTGCTCAGGGGCGATGTTGTTCAAATAGACACTTGGATAGCTGCTTCAGGGAAGAATGGAATGCGGCGTGATTGGCTTGTCCGTGATAGTAATACAAGGGATATATTGATGAGAGCTTCCAGGTAGATACTTCCTATATATGTGAAGATGTTCAGATTTCAAGAGTCAAACAAATCCTTCTTTGACCGCGATTCTTTTATACGTCTTTTAAATACTTTGAATTATTAATTATTATGACTTATAGTACTCTTTTTACGTAGTTTCCAAACATAAATTGGGACAGAGGGAATATTAGTTTGCATCTTACTCCCCACAGTTTGATGAAGCCTTCACTTTTAGTTCAGCTATTTTGTGGCAAATGCTACAACTTTCTTATGGTCTCTAGTAGTAGTATGTTTATATATGGTTGTTTACAGCTTATGGGTAATGATGAATGAAGAGACGAGGAAATTATCTAAAATACCAGGTCAGGTTAAAACTGAAATTGAAGTTAATTTTGTGGATTTGCCTCGGGTTCTTGATTGGGACAGCAAGAAGTTACCAAAACTTGACGAGATCACAGCAGACTACACTCGTACTGGTTTAACTGTAAGGAAAAAAAATACTTCAAGAATGATATAATGTCTTTTTAATAAAATTTTTAGTAATTACTGCTGGTTTGTTAATTCAATAGCCAAAATGGAGTGATCTAGACGTGAACCAGCATGTTAATAATGTCAAGTACATTGGCTGGATTCTTGAGGTACATCTTTCTTGTTCTTATTTTTCCCTTCACCACATTCCCTTTAATAATGTGAAGGAGTTATGTTGTGTCTTGTATCAGTATGCTCTTTAATCAATCATCATTTACCTAATACAATCAAACTTCTCTATAATAGATTCGTTTATTTCGAAATATTTTGGCGGCTATAGTGAAATACTATTATAGAGGACATATATTATAATATAATATAAATTTTCGATTACGAGAAAAACTTGTCTTTTATAATGAATGAATGTTATATAGACATGTTTTTATAGAAAAGTTTGATGGAAGTTTTACTAATCCAAGTGATAATCCTTAGATGTCTGAATAAAACAGGAAAGTCAAAAGAGACTAAACAGAGCATTTTCATTTCTATAATATTTTTTTTGTTTCCATTGTCTTCTAATTGTGTGTTATTGACGAATATGAATATAGCTGGTGAGAATTCCAGAATTGTCAACTATGTTGTTTTTTCACGTGTCATTAGCTGAATATACTAAAGAAAAATTATGAAGGGGAGTCTTGACGTAACTGATAAAGTTGTTGTCATGTGACCAGGAGGTCACGGTTCGAGCCGCAGAAATACAGGCTAAAGTTGCGTACAATAGACCGTTGTAGTCCGGCCCTTCCAAGGACCCCGCATATAGGGAGCTTAGTGCACCGGGCAGATTACTAAAGAAAAATTATCCATAGTTCTTGGAATCTCATTTACATATCTTTTGGGCTTATGATTGTTTGGGACAATGTATTTTACTGCAGAGTGCACCTATGCAAGAACTAGAGGGTTATGAGCTTGTTCGCATGACGTTGGAGTACCGACGTGAGTGCAGAAGAGACAGTGTGCTACAATCTCTCACATCCGTATTGCAAAATGCAGTGGGTAATTTGGCCAACTCCAGCAATGTCGAGTGTCAGCATTTGCTTCGTTTGGAGAGTGGCGAAGACGTTGTGAAGGGATGGACTGAATGGAGGCCAAGATTTGCCAACAGAGAGCAATAGATCGTGAAATCAGTCACTAATACTTCCATTAGGATAGGCTGCCCATATTACACCCATGCGTGAATATAGGATGCCTTGTGAAATGGGCCGTCCCTTTAATTGAGAGCAATGGATAATTTGCAGCAAGAGTGCCTAGCTATCTCTTGGGCATGTCACAATCCCTTGTTGATCTTATATTATATATTCCCTCACTGCATATAATGTATATCTATTTTCCTTTGTATGCTTGTTTTTTTCATTTATTGTTCATCTTTCCTATTGGTGAAACTAGAATTTAATGTCATTGGACGAATGAAGATTTTACGTTATAGCAATGTTTTACTATTTATAATGCAAGATGATTCTCAAGGAACATCCTCTTGATCTCATGGACAATTCATTTATACTAGTCTTCAAATTATTCAACCACTATTTTAACTCAAAAAATCGCATTACCTGTGCAAAATCAATAGTAGATTTGCCTTTCAATAATTAAAAGTTACTTATGATTAACCGTGTGAAGCGCGAACAATTTTACTAGTAACATTTTAATATTGACCATGTGCTAGGACGCGTAGGAATCATGAAATAATTGTATTATTGTGAATGATAAATGGTACAAGAATCTGAAGATTACTTCCATGATCATCGGCAGATTTTCTCAATTTTACAATATTTGTTTATGAATTATTTAAGGAATCTATATATATATATATGTATATATCTATATATATATATATATATATATATATTAAAGGAATAAAATTATCATATATAATTAGCATCGTGGTTAAACCAAGTGTCAAACTAATAAATGTCAATAGTATATGGTAACTTTATAACTTTGTTAGTCAAATACAAATANATTTTGCAAATATTGAACCGTACGGTTCAATATTTTTTCGGTTTATTTTTATAAAATAAAAAATCTACCATAATTATCGGTACCGTTATAGATTTATATAAAAACATACGGTTTTATTAAAAAAAAACCTAAAAATCGGTTCGGCACGGTACGATTATGTCGGTTTAGTCGGTTTTTAAATATTCATTTGCACCCCTAATCATTATTGACTTAGGGAAATAGCAGTATTAGACCCATTCTTTAATGACAGGGTCATTAGTGAGCTCAAATTTAAATGAGGGTTATAATTGATCCATTTTGAATAACACAAGGGCATTATTAGACCCATTTTATAACGGCATGGTTATTTTTGGACTCAAATTTAAACGGGGGTTATAATTGATCCATTTCAAATACCACAAGGTTATTTTTGGACCTTTTCCCTATATAATGATGTAAACCTAGATGCTAGAGAAAGAAACATTACTGTAACGACCCGAAATTTTTACTTTCAGGACCGTGATGGGGCCTAACATTTCACTTGCTAGGCAAGCCAACGTTAAAAATAATCTTACCCATTTTAAAGCAACTTAAATTAATAGAAGTCAATTACTGAAATAAAGTGCGGAAGACCATAAATAACGAATTATCAAAATACATCCCTGAATCTGGTGTCACAAGTGCACGAGCTACTTGAATAATACAAATAACGGTCTGAATAAAATTCAAGATGTTTGAAAGATAATACACAGCTAAGATAAGATAGAAGGGGACTTCAGAACTGCGGGCGCTGTGCAGTTATACCTCGAGTTTCCTTTGAGTAGCTGAATTCGAGCACGTCTATGGTACGCTACTGGGATGTCATGACCCAAAATCCAACTAGTCATGATGGCACCTAACCCAACCTGTTAGGTAAGACAATTATCAACTATCCAATTCCAATAATAATTATTAAAGCAATTTAAGTAAATAAAAATCTTAATCTTATATATTCCCCAAGAACTGGTAGTACAAATCATGAGCTTCTAAGAATAGAGTATACAAAGCTGGTATGAAGTAAATACATCATCTGTTTGAAAAGTATATAAATAGAGTTTTATGAATCTAAGGCCACCATAAACAAGATGCAGTTACAACCGGAACGCAGGTACATCTTCAGATCCAGCTCCCAATGAACACAACAACATCAGCAGCCAACATCTGCACGCAAGGTGCAGAAGTGTAATATGAGTACAACCGACTCCATGTACTCTATAAGTAACAAACCTAACCTTAGGTTGAAAGTAGTGACGAGCTTGTACCAAGGTCGGGTCCCAACTTCAATAACCAATAATAGTTCATAACAACATAAAACAAGTAATACCAGAAGTAACTCAACAATTAAATGCCTAACAAAAACATGATTTCTGAAAATAGTTATGCCTTTCAAGTACATCAATGAAAACCCAAATCGTATACCGGAGTTGCCAAAAATATGAATAAGTTTGAAAACAATAATTTTTCCAAAATCCTTTCAATAATATATAAGATGTTTCATTTTCTTTCTAGATAACCAGTGTAAAACAAATGCATTACTATGCCCATCTGTCAACATGTGTGAGAAATCATGAATGATGTGATACCGTACAACATGAGAAAAATACATCTTTATGCCTGTATGTCATGTGTGCATGTCAATGCAATGTATCTTAGAGATGAACTCATGTACTCACACTCTCAGAGTACTCAATCTCACTTTCTCACACATTTCACTCATCATGCCCAATCACTCGGTACTGTATATGTCCAATCCGGCCCAAGGAAGATCCATCCCGGAATATACACATCAACTAATCATCAGTCACTCAGTACCGAGTAGGGCCAATCCAGCCCGTGGAGAAGATCCATCTCCAGGTATATAATCCTTCGGACAAGATCCATGTCCAAGGAAGATCCATCCCTCAATAATATCAACCGCGCTCACTGGGGGTGTGTAGACTCTAGAGGGGCTTCTACAGCCCAAGAGCTATAATCCGCACGGACAACTCACATGCCATAATATCAATACCTGGATCCGCAAGGATAACTCACGTGCTGCACGGACAACTCACGCGCTTTAGTTTCAATATCCTCACAAACAGGCCACCGACTTCACTCAGTCATCAATCTCTCCATTCTTACTCACAGGTTTATAATGTCATGAAACTTGCCCAACAATAATGATATGATGTATAAATAGATAACAATTGAGACTGAGATATGATATGAATGCATGAATATGACTGAGTACAAAATATCAATGAAATCAGTGAAATGACAGCAAGAAACGACCACTATGGGTCCTAGCAGTATCGTCATAAAGCCTAAACATCATATCTAGCATGATTGCCAACTCAATTACTTTATCACATGGTGAAAACACGAACAACAACAAAGTAGGACCACTATACAGTGCTATGAAAACAACTGAGTCACAATTCATATGGTGCACGCCCACACGCCTATCACCTAGCATGTGCGTCACCTCAATACCAAATACATAACACATATAATCAGGGTTCATACCCTCAACTCCAAGATTAGAAGAGTTACTTAGCTCGAACAAGACGAATCCAATGCCGAGCAAGCTAAACAATGCTCCAGAAATCCCATTCTGCGCGTATCAACTCCTGAACGGCTCGAATCTAGCCACAATAAATTTGATTCAGTCCACACAATTTATAGGAATTATTTCCATACCAAAATTATAATGTTTTCCACAAATCCGAAATTACACTCCAAAAATCGCCAGTGGGGCCCACGTCTCAGAATCCAACGAAACTCACAAAATTTGACAACCCATCCAATTACAAGTTCAACCATACTAATTTCACTCAATTCCAACTCCAAATCGATGTTCAAAACTCAAAAATTCATATTATGAACTTTAGGCCAACACCCCCAATTTTCTCTTTAAATTCATCAACCACTATTTTAACTCAAAAAATCGCATTACCTGTGCAAAATCAATTGTAGATTTGCCTTTAAATAATTAAAAGTTACTTATGATTAACCGTGTGAAGCGCGAACAATTTTACTAGTAACATTTTAATATTGACCATGTGCTAGGACGCGTAGGAATCATGAAATAATTGTATTATTGTGAATGATAAATGGTACAAGAATCTGAAGATTACTTCCATGATCATCGGCAGATTTTCTCAATTTTACAATATTTGTTTATGAATTATTTAAGGAATCTATATATATATATATATGTATATATCTATATATATATATATTAAAGGAATAAAATTACCTTATATAATTAGCATCGTGGTTAAACCAAGTGTCAAACTAATAAATGTCAATAGTATATAGTAACTTTATAACTTTGTTAGTCAAATATATNTATAAAATGAGTCTAATAATGCCCCTGTGTTATTCAAAATGGATCAATTATAACCCTCATTTAAATTTGAGCTCACTAATGACCCTGCCGCTAAAGAATGGGTCTAATACTGCTATTTTCCTCATTCAGTAATAAAAATAAACCGAAAAAATATTGAACCGTCAAATTGAAAAAAAAAAAATTTTGCAAAATATTTTTATTTTTTTAAAAAACTAATGCATATGTAGTCCACTGCTTTAGGAGAGCTTTTGTTTCCAGTTTTTTTTTTTTTAAAAAATAATTCCAGTATTTACAAAAACAATACTTTAAAAATACTGAATAGACTTAAAAATATATATTTTGCAAATTCCTTTCTTTTTCTAGTTTTTACAGAATATATATTTTTCAGTTTTTAAAAGTATTTTTAAAAAAATATTTTTTTTCCCAGTTTTTACAAAAACAAATACTTTAAAAAAACTGAAAAGACTTAAAAATATATATTTTACAAATATTGAATCGTACGGTTCAATATTTTGAATCTATAGATAAAGTTTTTAAATTTGAATTAAAATAAAAAAGTAATTTATCTTTTGTTATCATATTATCATACTTAATTCGGTTAATGGTCATATGCAATCATATTAGGAATTTTTGTTATCTTAATTCAAATTATTTAAATAGTAGTTCGCATCTGGCAAAAAATAAAATAAAATACCCATATAACTATTGTCACACCTCCTTTTTCCCGAGGGGGTAGGGGATAGGGGAGTTTTTCCAATTTAAGTGACATTATTCGAAATGAGATTTTATTTATTCAGAGTCGGCACTTGGAATAATTTATGGTGTCCCAAGTCACTGATTTATTTTAGAATCCCAAATCGAGGAAAATTGACTCTTATTTATGGTCTGCGAACATAGAAGACCGGGTAAAGAATTCTGTTAACCCGAGAGAAGGTGTGAGGCACTCCCGAATTTCGTAGTTTTAGCACGGTCGCTCAACTATTAATAATTGGCCTAGTTATCTGATTTAATACATGTTTTAAACCTATATGTGTATTTTTATTCCTTTTAACCGCTTTTATTACATTACTGCATTTTAAACTTTTATGGAATTAATATGAGACGAGTTACGTTTGTCGTACACTCGTTATTTATACACATCGCAAATC